AAATCAAAAAGATGAGAGATGATGTTTTTTTTTTTTAATAGATAAAAGAGATATATATATATATATATAATAAAAGAAAAGTGACAAATAATGTGGGTGGAACCAGCACATGGTGTTGGTTTGATGATTCATTATTTTAATAAATATATATATATTAAAATAAAAGTAAAATGGAAAGAACGTGATGAGAGAGCTTTAAAACTTTTGCTTTTGCTTCGGCATTGAAAGGTGGGATTCCTGTGATAAATTCAAATAGGATAATCCCCACTGACCACCAGTCTGCAGCATAACCATGCTCAGTTCCAAGAAGAATCTCAGGTGCCAAGTAGTCTGGTTTCAAATCACGATGGACGAGTCCAAGAGAATGCAGGTATTCTAAAGCGAGAACCAGTTCTGCTATATAGATAGTGAGAGAGAGCCGTGGGTATCCTTGGATTTCCCAATTCTCTCCCTGGCAGCTCAAGCCCTAGAAATCTTCGCCGTACACGGCGAACTTTCCACCACCACCACCGTAATCTTGGAACTCTAGCCAGACCGATTTCGAAAATGGAGCAGAGCACTGACTTAGCTAACGGTGGAGAATCGAGCTCTGCTAGGGTTCCAAGATGTCCAACGGCGGAGATGCCGATCACCGAATCGGCCACTTCCTGCTGTCCCCCTCCAGCGTTCTCAAAAACCAGAAGGGAGACATCACTCGGTGGTTCGTCGACGGCTCTTCTGACGCCATAGTCAATCCAGCAAATGAGCTGATGCTTGGAGGTGGTGGTGCTGATGGAGCCATACACCGAGCTGCTGGCCCAGAACTTGAAGCCCTTGGAGCTACTGTTGAAAGGGTTAGGCCAGGGTGAATTACACACAGAGGCCACTACGTCAATGTTGCAAGGAGAAGGGCATTGGAAGCAGATGCCAAAGATGTTGAGCAAATTAATGGTTACACATCCGAGGGAGAGAGGATTTGGGCAATGATGGGAAGTTATGTGTAGAAAATAAGCGGACTAGGTTGAGGTCCGGCGGGCGGCTAAGGTGAGATTGTCGCCCGCCGGGGAAGCGAAAATACTAGGTTCTAAACCTGTTCTGATACCATGTTAAAATTGATGTATTATTGAGAGGGAGAACAATTACAAACCGAAAGTAGAAGCACAAACCAAACAACATTATTAAAGGTACATTATTAAAGCATACTAATTATTATACTAACCTAATTATTAAAGCAACATTTTGCATATTATATTCTAACAGGCACCTATCTCAAGCATAACAATTTTGATAGACTATCTTATTTAGACAAGATAAAAGAACAACAATAAAAAATGAATGTTAAAAGGCTTAAATGAAGGTCGAAACTTAATGTAGTTTCCATAACTAGCAACATGTATCTTTGTGCTGTTACATTTCCTTTATTCTTTGTATCGGGGCACCTATCTCAAGCATAACAATTTTGATAGACTATCTTATTTAGACAAGATAAAAGAACAACAATAAAAAATGAATGTTAAAAGGCTTAAATGAAGGTCGAAACTTAATGTAGTTTCCATAACTAGCAACATGTATCTTTGTGCTGTTACATTTCCTTTACATTTTGGTTTGTTTTGTTTTTAGTTCAGAAGTTAATAATGCCTCCCTGAGCAATTCTAGAAAGAAGTCTGCTGATTTTTTTTCTCTTTGCTATTATAGAACTTGCTAAAATTTGACTAAAATCAAATTTTCCCTTATATAACAATGCCCTTTTATATTACATAAAATCAAGATCTCCATAACAGAAAAAATTAAAACATCGAGTTCAAGAATCTCCAGCCTTGTGTGCGTGTGTTTATGCGGGCGCGCACGCATGGAAATTCCATATTTTGTAATGTAAGCCTGATTTTAAAACCGATATCACTATATGCCTTTTTGGAACTGATCGCCTTCCCATTTGAAAATTAATAGCAGATAATTAAACTAAGGCCCCGTGAGCGATTAATAAAACAAACTCAGAATGGAGCAAAGATCAATAAAAGAAATTTAGATATGCAGCTTCAATATAATGAACTTAAACAACCTACGCAAACACGAAATCCTTGAAAATGAAACTTAAAAGAAGCAACCCTACTAATTCAGAGTTCAGACACATCACAAAAAGCACATATCAGTGTAAATCTTCTACGACATACCGTATAAAGACGTATAATGAAAAGTTAATTCCATACCAGTATCATATCAGCAGCAGGCAAAAATTCAACTTGATGGGTTACAAAAATCACAGTCTTAGAGGCTAGCGCTGTCAATATGTATTCCTGCAGTTCCATTTTATATGTTTAGTCAAACTCCATTCATTTCAACTGCAAAGTGGATGATACAATAAGTAATACTAACCTTAAATAATTCTGAGCCAGTGTGTGCATCAACAGCACTGAAGGGATCATCAAGTAAATAAATGTCTGCATTTTGATAAAGTGCCCTAGCAAGCTGCACACGTTGCTTCTGGCCACCACTCAGATTTATGCCTCTATCACCAATGATGGTCTGATCTCCATGTGGGAAAAGCTCAAGATCTTTTTTCAGTGAACAAGCATGGATCACATTCTTGTACTTTGCGTTATCCATTGGGCTACCAAAAAGTATATTTTCTTCTATATTTCCCGATTGTATCCAAGCTGATTGAGAGACATAAGCAGCAGAACCACATACCCTAACCTAAACAGACACATATATAAATTATATTCCCAAATTAAGAGGACCCAATAAAGCCAACCAAAAAAATGAAACTAGAGACAGAAAAATTAATACTACTACGAGACTTACTTCGCCGGAGATTTTTGGAATCTCACCAAGGATGCAAGAAAGAAAGCTTGATTTCCCAGAACCAACCATGCCACAGACAGCCACGCGCATCCCCTTCTCCACCTTCATTTGGATGCCCGCTAACGTTGGCTTTGGAGAAGAAGGATCCCAGCAGAACTTGCCATCTGTAATTTCAATTGCCACATTCGTGAAGCCTCGTGGTATAAGGATGGTTGCATCCTCCTGCAACTCTTCCAGAAGGAACCCAGAAATTCGATCAAGAGACACTTTTGTCTGAGCCATCATAGACACGAGATCAGGGAAATTCCTGAGCGGTTCTTGGAGGATCCTGAAAGTGGCCAGAGCAGAAAGAACCCCACCTGCTGTAAGCTGACCCCCCAACAATATGCAAGTACCAAAAGTCACAGCCGAAACAAATATAGGGGAGCTCCAAAAAATGAATGTAATAAAAGCCTGAGAGTAAAGAGCTTTCTGAAGATACTTAAATTCCACGTTCCTCATCTCCTCCAGCTTCGCTCGGTACCTATCCTCCCAAGCGTGAAGCTTGAGAATTCTCATGTTCCTAAGACACTCAGAAGTCTTCCTCATCCTATCATCCTTGGCAGCCATTAACTTGTCTTGATAATCTTCCTGAAGCCTCGCCAATGGAACAGTTACAACGATGGAAATAATGGTCGCAATCAAGGTTGCTACAGAGGCAATCCCAACATTCTTATACAGAATGGCAAGGGCAAGAATGATTTGCATAGGAAGCATCCAAATGTCATGGAGATACCAAGAGTAGTCCCCCACTCTCTGAACATCAACTGCCATGTAGTTAACAATCTCCCCACTGGTGTGACTTTGCTTTGCCAAGCTCGAGAGCCTGAGTCCCTTACGATACACCATTGCCGTTAGAGCTGACCTCACGTGCATTCCCAAAATGTCAACCCCAAGATACCACTGTCGAGTCAATAAGGTCTCCGCCAACTTTGACGTGAAGAATATTCCAGCAAGAATATAACCCTCATGAGGGAAAGTATTATTTCCCTCTAAGTAATCCACAAAGTAGCTAATCATGCATGGACCCACATAAGAAACCAGAGTATTCAAGCCTGCAAAAATGGCATTACGAGCTGCCTCCTTCCAGAAAGACTTGAGAATAACCCAAGGTAAAGATGGCTGTTTCAGAGGACTTTCAGTCTTCAACTTCTCCCAATTCACGTTCAAAATCTTGTAATTGGTCTTGGAACGATCTTTCGTTGCAAGAAGTGGAATGTCCTTGAGCTCAAGTGGTCTCTTTGCACCTAATGAAAGAAGTGGGTTCAAGGTTCAACCAGGAAAGTGTGGCCAAACTAAAGAACCCTGCTTCACTATAAGGGGTAACCTTAAGACACCCTGCTTCTTCTTCTACTTCTTCTACTTCTACTTCTACTTCTACTTCTACTTCTACTTCTACTTCTTCAGGCAGCAATGGCTCTTGAAGATCAGAGTTTTGGCATACTTGTTGTATACCAGTGACACCCCTAGTTGCAACAAAACAGAGGAAAGCAAGGGCCGGGGCTGCTGCCAAGTTTGCCAAAACATGACGACTCCTCAAGTGTTTTGAACCTTGTGCTAGAAATTCTTTCCCATCAGTATACAAAGTAGACAAACAAATGACAAAAGACACAACCCACCACACTCTCAACAAACATGGGTATTTCTCAGAGACCTTGAATTTACAATGAAGGGCTGAAAAGCTCAGCACAAACCAAGCTAAACCCTGAGATGCAGGCAAAATCACAAGAGTCCAATTTGTACCCTCCCCATGTGAAGCATTTCTTATCAAACCAGCACAATCAAACCCTAAAACCAGTGCTTGCAAAAACAACACATAAAAGCAACAAAACAGTGAAGCTTTGTATCCACTACCAATTTCAATACTCCGAATTTCACCATCAGCACTGTGGCCTGAATTAGCATTTGAATCTTCCTTGAAGATTCGAATTCTACCTACACAAATGCGTATTTGTCGAGCCAATACAATCAAGAGAAACACGAGGAACAATGTCAAGTTTATGCAAATTGAAGCTAGTTCCAATGTGGGTATATCCTGGAACCCCCCCAAAAGATTGTTTCTGGGCCAATGCATAGTGGTGGGTGACCATAATAATAAAGCAGAGAATTCAGTGACCAAGTGGCTCATTCCCATAATAGATATGATCAATAATGCTTTAGGGGAAGAGCCAAAGAATGTGATTGAAATTGGGGGAGTTGGGTGACGAAGTGTATGAATATGAATGTGTTTAGAAATGTGAGATCGAATTGCAATAAGGGCATTTCAACATCTGGGTTTTGTGTTGAATGCGCTAAAATGATGACAAGTCGCAAAGACAAAACGAATAGGTGTTCGTCGAGAGAGAATCTGCAGACACATTGCACATGAAAACAAATTAATTTCCATCATCAAAAACACGCAATACGAAAGAGAGAGAGAGAGACACACACAACTCTCTCTCTCTCTCTTTCTACGTTATCTATCTATGTAGAGAGAAGAAGAGAAGGGGACAAAGAAGGGAAACCCATTAAAGAGAAAATCCGAAAAACAAAAACAAAAACAAAAACAAACCCATCTGGGGTGGGGTGTTTGGGTATTGGGTGTTGTGTATTTTCCAGGAAAATCGTTTGTAGAGATTGCCAAGCCAATCCTAAGACATGTACATACACAGTAGTAGTAGCAGCATAAGCATAAGGTAGTTTTAAAGGTAGAAAATCTGATCAACAACACACCCACCACCCACTCTACTACCCCCATTTGATTTATATAAGGTATGCACCAGAATCCAGATGGTGGTGATGATGACTGAGTTGCATGCAACATTTTAGAGAGAGGGAGAGAGAGAGAGAGCGATCAGCCATGTTCTCTTATTGCATACATTGCACAAAACACAACACATAAAAAGACTATATACATATATATATGTTTACCTTGTATGTAAAGTAAATATTGGGCTGGTGACACTGCCTTGAAATGGGTTACTTATTACTGGACTGGAATGGAAGGTAAGCTTGAAGTGTATGTAAATTGGTAAAATGGTGGGTGAGTAGTGAGATTGCACAAAAATTGAGTTCATGAGATCAATTAATCTATTCATGGATATATATAGAGACAAATGTCATCACAGAGAGAGAGAGAGAGAGACTGCAGTAGAGTGATGAAAAGGAGAGAATAAGGAAACAAGAATATTACATAGCTAATCGAAAGAATATTATGTACCTGATATGTTGGCTCAAAAGAAATACTAACCTGATATGTTGGCTCAGAGGAAATACTAATACAATGATGCTGCAGACCCCAGTGAGATGGCGTGTCTGAAATTCAAAAAAATAAAATAATTTTTTTTTTCTTAATCACTGTGCGCCACCTTACTGAGAGTCCGAAGCATTTTTGATACTAATATATGATGGAGTTGGTTGTTGCATATTTTATTTTTATTCGAAAATTTGTACTAGATTGTTTAATATAGTTTTTGTTTGTAGTTTAGTATAAATAATTTAAACAGCCGTGATTTGAACCCCCAGTTGGGGGCAACCCCAGTGACCCCCAATACTACATGGCGCTCTGCCAAGGCTGAAACCAAAAAAAAAAAAAAAAAAATTATTATTTTTTTTAGCCAATCAGGAGTGACCCCCAGTACCCCACTGGGGTCTTAAGCTTTATTCTAATTTAAATAAGTTAAAAAAATTTGATGATTTGAAAATTGGAAAATGAATTTTTTCATTTTTATTTTTTTGATTTATAATAAGTTGCATTAAACAATTTTAGGGAGGGGGAAAATTATTTTTTGCTTTATGATGTGACACCCTAATTTGATTTTTATTGGTTAAATCAAAGGCTTTTAATTGATGCTCCGTCAGCAGAGGCTTTTATCCATGTCGTTGAGTCGTAGTAGACAAATGTTGTGGAATTGTGACACAAGGTATGAGTGTGATGCCATTGTTGTTTGGGAGAATTATAAGTTGGTATGAAAGTTAACTATTTTAGTTAATATTTTAATTTTTTTTATAAATGATTTATAATAATTTTTTAACTACAAATTTTAAGTCTCTAAATATGCGGTCTCAATAAAATTTTAAAAAATATTTATAAATACATGAAAAAATTTAAAGTTTTAATTATAAATATTTATAAAATTGATCATCACCATTTATGGTATTTTTCCCTTCTTGTTATACTCCTCTCAACATATGTCATACAACTACCTTGAGTTTTATCCGACTCTCAATTATAAAGATTCTCAATTCTTTTAACAATTCCACTATTTTATTTAAGAGTACATTGCAAATCCCTCCTTTAAAATTTGAAAAAAAAAATATAATAAATTATATATTTTTGACGTAATTATACAAACTTTTGTTTTAATAAAGTTAAATAGACCAAAATTATTGTAAATTATGTGAATACACAATAATAAATAAGATAATATATATATTTTAATCTAAAAGAGATGACAATATCCTTTTTTTCATCTATATGACTAATAAATTACTAATAAAAATGGGAAAAATTCTATGAATGTGTACCGTATGCACTTTGTTATATATTTTTGTTGTGTGTTACGTATTTTTGTGATATATGTTATATATTTTTTTTACAAGTTACGATAATTTGTGATTGAGAAATATAGTTACGCGTTTTTGTGATAATGTTACATATTTTGTAGTTAGAAATTATTTAAATAAAAAAAATGTGTAACATACCTGTTAGCACCATAAATCTGTAATTTTATTATTATTATTATTTATATAATTGCAGGACATGTGGCATCCTCTTACTCATTTGGAAGTTATGAGAAGTTATGAAATATGAAAAGATGATGGAGAATTAAATGGAGAACATGGAGAATGAATTGGAGGTTCAAGGAAGTTATGAAGACATGGAGGGATATGTGGCATTGTGTCAAATCAAAGACAATTGATTTTTATTTTTGTTGTCATTTATATTTCCTGCACTTTATTTTACGCACTTCCTTTTCGAAGCATTTATTTTCAGCACTTCCTTTTCGAAATATTTTAAACACTTTCTTTTCAAAGCATAGAAGTAGAGGTAAGTAATTATTACTTTGATTGTTCACTCAATCGTCTTTCTTCGTCTCCCTCTTTCTTTTTTTAATTTTTTTTTCTACACTTGGCAATTTTGAAGTCCTCTTTGTTGAGGCAAAAGAACCATCAACGCAATCACTTGATAATTGACTTGAATTTAATCTGTAAGAATTTTTCAATCCTTGCTGACACGCTTGCATTTATGATATTTTCCTTCGTAGGAAAAATAAGCCAACAATTTTTGGCACGCCCAGTGGGACTGCCAAGTGTAAGAAATGACAAACGATTTAGAAAAAAGTCCCAGACTCAAATCCAAAAAATCAGTTTTATTCTACTTTATTTCCTTTCCAGTTCTACATTTCATGTTCTTTACATTTCTATACTTTAAAATTCCTACACTGCACTTCATTCATAGGAGTAGTTTCAAGTAGATTGTTGCTGTAAACCTCTACGAGGCTGAATTGGATCATTGTAAGTTTGTTTTAGTTCTTTCAGCCTCAATGAAGAGGACTTTTACTGGTGGCTTGATTTAGGAGAATTAAGCAAACAACAATCAAATGAAGAACAATTGAAGCATTTCATTAAAATGAAAAACTTACAATGATCCAACTCAGCTTCATAGAGGTTTACAGCAACAATCTAATTGAAACTACTCCTATGAACGAAGTGCAATGCAGGAATTTTAAAGTACAGAAATGTAAAGAACATGAAATGTAAAACTGGAAAGGAAATAAAGTAGAATAAAACTAGTTTTTTGGATATGAGTCTGGGGCTTTTTTCTAGGGCATTCTCTGCTATTTATACTTCTCAAGGATGACCATCGAACTGCACTTCTAATCGTCGAATCGCTCCTCCATGATCGCTGATCATGTTGCCTTATAGTTAGCTCCACTATGCCATCACTTGCAGTTAGGCTTTCCTCCTGATTTTGAATTTGAATGTGAGTAACCGTTGAAACCACATCACTTTGCATCTCTTTGCTGATCCAGTGCTACGCAGATCTCATAAGAACCAATACTAACTGCCACGTGTACGATCACGATTGAAAACTTGAATAGTCTTTCCGTATTGCCCTTATTTTGCCAAGCGTTGAATTGTCATTGGCTTATACAAAATATGTAGCCAACATTACCCCCCGCACTAATGTACCCAGCACTTGGTGATATTAGTGGATCAAGGTCTTTTATCTACGTTTTTAGAACATTCATGGGCTTTGCATTTTTAGAAACACAACCGTCATTCATTGATGAACCTTTGCATTAACTCCTCTTTGATCCCTTAAACAAACTCACTATCTCAGTATTCGAAGAGTCCAATTCAATGGATAAACAGACTCTTTCTTATCTCGATCAAGTATATGAAGAGTTGTTTGATAATACCGTTCGCCCTCGAAAGAATCTTCATGCATTGATTACCCACCTTTACCCACCTTTCTATATTCAAGTCATGGAGGCTTTTGCAAATTATCAACCCTTGGACTATGAACACACTGTCCACAATCCTTTGATTCAGAAATTTGCAAATATGGATATGGGAAGTTCTTCTTCTAATTCACAATCTTCTGCATGGGATGAGGCTGTGGCTTCGTCTTCCTCTGAGGCTTCTGGTTGGAGAAGTTGGTCAGAACTTGAGGCATGTAAGTTAAAGGAGCGAGTTAATCATCACTTTGTCGAGTTCACTGATCCTCTAGAATTTCCTTATGATGCTCAAAGTTCGGTGGTTTATCCTTACGTGCCCATCGACCGCTGATGCAGTTTAGAGGATAATCTGCTTGTAGCATGGTACACATCCTCCATGCCTACAAAGACAGTACAAGTTACCCGACGCCCAGAAGAGGCACAAGGGTATAACCCATCGTTCTTAGCCTAGAAGGCGAGGCTTTGCTCTTTTGACTGGCTTGATTGTGTTAATGCCCCTCAGTTTCCTCCTTCTTTCGAAATGGAAGCCTCTATACCTCCTCCTCCACAAAATCCCTGCTGGACAGAAAGACTGAGGCTTACCCTCTCTGAGGACAAGGTTTTTCCTCCTTATAAGCCCCCACCTACTCCTACTCCAGCTCAGCGAAAGCAAGCCTAACTTCTGCTTATGGTTTTTTCTCACTTGCCTTTCAATGTTCTTGAAGACGATATCCCTCTCAAGAACCTTCGATGGACTTGTGATATTATGACTCGGGGTCACGTCCTCAACCCCATCGACCAAGCAGAACTCCAAATGTTTTTGGACCAACTCCTGTTGCTTCTCCATTGGCACCGGATTTCTGTGGCCACCACCCAATCTTTGAACCAACTTTCATCCCTTCGAATTCATATCCAGTATGAAGCAGAGAACCTCATCGAAGAATACGATGATTTCAAGAATAAAGATTCTGCGTACTGGGATGACTTGGATATGGACGAGCTGGAACAAGGGTTAAAAGAAATAGCGTTCGAAATAAAGGCTGAAGAACTCTTTTATCAAGTAAGAGCACATCAACTTCAGCAGCCAAACTTGGAGAAAATAGAGGATAGAATAAAAAAGGAACATAAATTTATTGACCATAGCTGGACTAAATTCCATGATCTTGTTATTTATTATATTCCTTACTTTTATGAACTCGAATTTGTATCCAAGGAGGGCCTTTTGATGTAATTGCTTTTGTTTCAATATAGCTAAAACTTTTCTCCTTGTTTGGCATGGTTTGACTTTATCTCTGTTTGTCTTTATAAGCAAATTTAGGGCTTCGAACTCCACAATCTTATCCTTCGAATCTGGATTTAATCATCTCAAATGAAATACTGAAAAATCAACCTGAATTTTTCCAATTCATGGAATATAGTTGACAATGTTTTGCTGATTTCTATTTAGAATCAATGCTTCGAATTTAACAACCTTGCCCCTTAAAGCTTGTTTTAATCATATCCAACATATGGTCATGGTTAGTACGATCAATCAGTTTTAAATTGACCATTTTTGCTTCGAACAACAGCCCATACTTTCAAAAATATGGAAGCCCCTCTCGAGGGCTGCACTGTTTTAGTCCGAAAAAGCAATCTTTTACGTATATTATCAAACCAACTATTGGTTTTGATACTTCGAACAAC